CGACACGGTAAATGGCAGCTTTGATGCATAGCGAATTGCCCTTGAAGCTCATCGGCACTCGGATGCCACTGTCATGCTCAAGACACATGGTGGGCTTGCGCTGTGGCCACCACCCAGCACGCATGAGCTTGCCCTTGCACAAGAGAGGCTGAGTGACAGGTGCAATCGCGCAAACTTCTCGCCACACAATCGGCTCACCTTCTTCACTCTGCAAAACGAAATCAACTTCTCTCAAATCGTTCACAGCAAGTGGCTCGCCCTGTGCATCTTTCAATGCCAAGCCTCCGGCGCCCTGACTGGTGCCATGCGTGGCATAGCAAAGTGGCAGGCAACTCATGTCTGCTCCACTGTCAAGGATGATCTCATGAGCTTCTGAGTCGTGCACCAACATGTCAATGGAATGCACTGCGCACACAAACTGAGGAATCCCGCTGCAGTCTGACTCGTCCTGAAGATCAAAGGTCGATGCAGCTATGCACCACGACCCTGCATTGGCATCACAAGCTGACATGTCGAAGCTGTGGTCACACTCGGACCCGGGACCCTCTGGCACGCTGCACTGATCTTGCTCAAGCAAAATGGGACCCTCTGGCACGCTGCACTGATCGTAAAATTCAAAACGACCTGTGGGGACTGGATTGCCTCGGCTCTCAAACCCGTTGAAAATGTTATCAAGACAATCGCTCAAGCCATCCGAACACTCGAAGCGCTCAACTCCCGAAATTGTCAAGACATCTGAAACTGGATATCCCAAGCCAAGGTGGCTGGCACGCATTGCATCAAGAAAATCAAAATCTGAAAATTCTGAAATCCCTCTCGGCATGCAACCTGTGGGGCACTGGATTGCCTTGGCTCTCAAACCCGGCTCGGCTATAACGGCACGCACATGGCCGCCTGCAAACCAGCTTGACGTGTCACCAAGGTCAAAGACCTGCACACGGCGAACGGCTGTGGTTGCCGTGCTCGATGCTGCAGCCTGGCTTGCACTGTCTGACGGCTGCACCTCGGAAACCTGATTGACACGGCCTTTCTCATGCTTTTGCTTAAGCCAGCAATCCTTCTCCAAGTGACCCTTGCGCTCACAGTAACGGCAGGTGCGAGTCTCAGTTGCAGGAGGCGGACCTTTGGGAGTGTTGCCGCCTTTGCCCTTGCCTTTTGGCTTGCCTTGGTTCTTACCACCTTTACCGCCTTGTGGCTTGCCACCATGACCTTTGCCTTTTGGCTTGCCTTTGCCTTTGTCACCTTTGCCCTTAGGCTTGCCCTTATTCCATGCGACACGATCAATCTCCATGGGCGCGGGACCGCCTGAGGACGAAGATGCAATGCCAAACGTGCTGGCAATCGAAGTGCTCCACTTTGTCTGGGAAGTGTCCCAGCGCTCAATCAAATTCCGAAGATCCTGATACGTGGAGCTTTCTGTGATCAAGACGGTGGCCTGGGTCCTGAGTTGTCCGGACAGACATCGGAGAACGGCGGCCAAACGATTGTCGTCTGACATGCTAGTGCCAGTCAGGCCTTCATATTCATTCACCGCACTCTCGAAGCGGGTGAGTTGGGTCATAAGGCCGGTCCGGTTGTCAAATGCGGGCCACGAGTGTATTGCTTGCAACAACGCCAAAATGCGATTGCGCGAACTCGGCATTAAATCTTGGCTGAGGAGTCTATATGCCTCAAACCCGTTTGCATCTGTCAAGGATTTCAAGACTCGCTTGCCTTTGTCATGCAAGAGCCCGGCTAAGACACCGTAAAGAAGTCGGGACCTGTCTGCTTCAGCTTCAGTCAAGGATGCAAGTGCAATCGGATTGGCAGGCCTACGACGGATTGTCTGAAGCTCCACGCCAAATGCTCGATCAAGACAAGACAGGTACTGTTCCAACTCCCAAGACCAATTAGCCCACAGTGAAAGCTCTGCATCCCGGTCCTTGGGACGGAAAGGCTCAGGAGCCTTGAGGACCTTTGCAAGGTCGCGCCCTCGGATCGCCTGCTCCCTAGGCGCTGCAGTGTTGTTGGAAACAAGGGTTGTCAGGTTTTCCAACACTTGCATCAACCGCTCCTCGTTCGGCGGTGCTCTGCTTGCAGCAGACGCTGGGGAAAACGGGTTCCCAGGAGGCACAAATGCCCCAGCAGGAGCTCCAAGCTCCTCATCACTATCATCGGCACCCACTGCGGCAGCAGCCGCATCAGCATATATCTCTGCCATTGTTTCTAATCAAGATCAATGGTGCAATCGGAACCTTCGCGGTGCAATGGAACACGAAACGCAGCTGAAGAACTTGCTTGATCAGGCGTTGATTGCTCAAGATCAATGATTTCCGAACTCCCACAAGAAGAAACCCGAGGAAAACCACCTAGACTAGCGACAAGGGACCTTTCAAAGTCCGGCGCCTCGGTCTGGGCGTGCACAAAGGATTCTTGCACTGAAAACGGTATGCAATTGGCAGTACAGATAGCAGCTCCCTCGCAAAAGAACTTCTCCTTCCACTCCTTCTCTCTCAAACACTTGCTTGCAAATTTGTAAAGCTCAGGCACAGTGTGAAATGATTGGGCTCTGGCTTTGCACGCGGCAAAGCTGGTACGCAAAATGCGCACAAAGGACTCCCTGCTTCTACCCTCGGGCTGAGGTCTCGCCCAAAGCTGCTCCTCGTACACAGACAAGAGAAGCTCACGCAGCAACTCCACTCCTGCTAAGGTTGTCGTGATTTATTGTTCAAGCAAACAAAGCTCGCGGCAGCTATGGCTCGTCCGGTCGGCGCCGGGATTGCGAAGCTACGGCACTACAGCCTAGGTTCACCGAAATCACGCAACACACTCAGAGGAACGCTGCCACAGCCTAACAGCCTGGGCCCCTGAACTCAAGCCCACAAGAAGTCCACGTGTCCCGAAGCTGGGTCGGCCCAGCTCCGCTACCATGAACAAACTTCGGACTTTTGCAAGTACTCTGAGCCTGAAAGTCACGACGATCACACATGCTTCGCATGCTCTCCGAGAAAACTACACGAGTGGTCAAAAGCTACCAAAACTGTTCTAGCAAAATAAGAGTACAGGGCATAGGGGAAAATGTTGATCAAGCCCCCAAACCTTGAAATGCTCAAAATAATTAGTAGGCACCGGGGAGGCATCCAGGGAATGGGGCGCCTCCGAAGCCCCGCCCCCGCCAAGCCTGTGAGCCTGGGCGGGATACCCTCTCAGTCCCCCTCCGAGGGGGGCTGTCGGGGAACGGAATGCTGCCCGCGTTTTTGCAGCATCTGTCGCCCCCAGTCGGGGCGTGTGGGGAACGAAACTATGCCCTTTTTTTTGCAGCTTTTTTCGACAAAAAGAGCAAAGTCGGAATTCCGACCTTGCTCCCAACACTCACATTCAAGCCATTTGTTCATCAAAAACGGGCCACTGTCACAACTCGACAAATTTGTCGAGATGTGACACCGCCACAAAATGCGCTCAATTTCATCAAAAAAGGGGCCGGTGCCACAGCTCACCAGATTTGGTGAATGCTGACAGTGCCACAAAAGCTCGCTACTTTTCAATCAAAACGGGATTTGCTTCAGACTCCGTCGGATCTGACGAAGCCTGAAGCAAATCTCAAAGGACTCAAAGGACGCTCAAGCTCAATGTGACAGAAAAAAATGTACTTCATCGGTCCTTAAATCCAAGGACGGCTGAAGCAGTTCAAAAACCCTCAATTTGATCCAAAACGGGCCACTGTCACGGGTCACAGTCGCAACTCGCCAGATTTGGCTAATTGCGACAGTGCCACAAAAACGCGCTCAATGCGCGAAATCTTGCGAGAGTACACGGAGATGACGACCTCGGAGTTTCAGAGCCACTTGATCAAGCTGGACACACGACTGCGTGGAGACAAGGCCTTGACCAGCGGGAAGCGCCCGCCAATGACGAAGGAAGAGTTCCTGCATTTCAATGCGAGGTCCATGCTGCAACTCCGCCAGCATGCAACTGAACGATGACGAGACGCAGGCTGAATCCCTGCTGGTGGCGTGTGACCAGCAGCTCAAGATAACAGACTTCATCATCAACGACAACACCGTCAATTGCTGGTGGTACAACCCCGAGGTCCACGAGAAGCAGACGATCGACTTTGCCAGGGCCTACGGCCGCGCGCGAGATGAGCGGCGGACCCTCATCTTCTATGGCGACAGCGGCAAGGGCAAAACCCCGTTGGCCAGCTGCCTGGCTTCCTTCACGGCCCAGGAAGTGGAGGCGACGCAGTTCGTCATGATTTCCAGTCCGGATATGCTCCGGGCCGCCGTGGAGCGGAACCTCCTCCGCGACCAGAGGCCACTCATGATGGACGAGCTGCAACTCAGGAGTCACAGCATCGGCGCACAGGGCGGGGGCGCGGACACCCTGAAGCACCTGCTGGGGTTGTCGCCGGACCTCGCGGCCATCATCAAGTGCCACTATCACGACGTGAAGATCCCGGCGTCCGGATCATCACGGTGCAAGACTTGTCCAAGCTGCACCAGCCACTCGACGACATGGCCAAGGCCAGGCCCCCGAACCTGATGCCCTACCAGGAGAGCAGTGGATTGCCACAGAGCTCGACAAGTACTTCGACGCAGACACCCAAGCCATTCTCAAGCGCTGCATCTTGGTGGAGGTCAAGGAGCAATGCGCAAAGGAGGAAGTGCGCCAAAGACGCCAGGTGAACTCTGAGAGGGCATTGGCCATCGCGACCCGCTTAGAAGCCATGATGAACCAGTAAGTTTCACAAAAACCTGCGGCACGAGGACAGCAGCCGCAAAATGCGTTCAGCAGCCATCGGAAGTAGCTTCTTTGTCCGCGGGCGTGTCAGTCCTCCTAAGCTACCAACATCTCCGCAGCTTCTTTCGGCTTACCAATTCGAACGGGCCTTGTGCAGACCTCCGTCGGATCCGGCCATGGAGGCATCGAAGCAAGCGCGTCTCGCGCCGAAACCTCTCGAGGAGGTCCTGCCCGGCGGCCCGACTATGTTGCTCTCCTAGCTCTGCCCCTGGACCGACAAGGATGACGACGACCTCGCCGACCTCGCCACTACAGAGGCGAATCGCATGCTTCGCGTACGTTTGCGACCACGCTGTTTTTCTCATGGTCGGCGATCTTTGCCGCCTGGCCTCCGCGAACAGGTGCTGGAACCAGCTCCGCAATGCCATGTCATTGCAAAGGAGTGCCACGCAGGATTCTGCGGCATTGCTCGTGGCCTCATCCGAGTCAGGTTCACAGTGGACAGCTTACTGGAGCTGTCGCACGAGGACGCCCTGGACTTCTTGCCACGCCGCGAGAAGCGCCTGCAGCTATTGCTCATGTCGCAGCGGCTGCCTGAGAACGAGGTAGATCCGCGTAGACCGCTACCGTTGTGATCCGAGCGAAAAAGAGCGTCCCAGGAAGAATGCGTTCAGCAGCCATCACAATTAGCTCATTCCACCCGCGGGTGTGTCAGTCCCGCTCTGCTACCAAACATCTCCCTGTTTGAACTTCCCGGTGTTTTCTTTTCTTGACCACGACGTTTTAATTAAAATGTTTTTTTTGGCTTGACTGGGCCTCGTCGACTACGGCTGTAGCTCTCGGTCCCGACAAAGTAACAAACTACCAACTAAACAAAAAGACTCGACAAAACGGTGAGACAGCAAGCGAAGCTCTACCAATTGCTGCGGCGCACAGGCTTTGCCGGTGTTAGCCGTTCAGCGAAACTACGGAGCCTCAGCGACCGATCTTGGAGCAACAAAGGGCCGTCGCCCTGAGCTGCCCAAAACAACAGGTGGAGCCAAGACCAAGCTCCGGCAGCCGTTCCAGTCTCGCCAGACAACGGACAGCCCCTGTGTTTTGTTCCGTCACGATCGTGCACACCAAAATCCAAAAGTCCACGGCCATGGCGCAGGTGGCGGACGGAAATGGAGTGCAAGGAGTGCCGCAGGCAATCAGCCCGCTCCAGCACACTTCCATAACACCAAGGGCAAAACCCACAGGGCCCTTGGTGTGACAAGCGCGAGACGCGGCCCGCTTGCGAGACTGGCAAACGGCGTGGGCAACACGCTCACGGCAAAACTGCTGGCATGATCAAACGCCAGTGATGCACGACCACGACACTGGGACGGCAAATCCGCTGCCGCCATAACCACATCAATGCCCCCAGCCGTGAGCTGGAACCCAGGGTCGGCCGCAAAGGCCGGCAGAGATCACCGAGGCGGACATTGACTTGCAGGTCGCACGCTTCCACAGCCTCGTGTGACCGTTGGACGGCCATGGCAAGATTGGAAACACCATTGGAAGCGAAATCCACACGAGGAGGTGAAGGGCGAGCAACGTATGTTGCAGGCAACGGCGAAAGACAACCATAATGCGATGCACAGGGGTGCCGACCCAAAACCGGCCATGGATTCAAACACACCCCGAAGGACAAACCCAATTCCCACGGCGAGCGATCAGTGACGACCCGGATGCGGAAATGGAGTGCAATGACCAGCGCCGCAGGCAATCAGCCCGCTCCAGCACACGCTTTCATAATTCCCACACACCAAGGAGAAGGCCCAAGAACCCTTGGCGTGGCAAGCGCGATTCGCGGCCCGCTAGCGACACTGGCAAAACGGCCTGGACCACACGCTCTTGGCCAAACTGCTGCATGAAGCCAACGCCAGTAGCTGCAGGTCGCACGCTTCCACAGCTTCGTGTGAGCGTTAGACGGCCATTGGCAAGGGTTGGAAACGCCGTTGGAGGCGAATCCCACACGGTGAAGGTGAAGGGCGAGCAACGTATGTTCCCAATTCCCTTGGCGAGCGAGACAGTGTGTACCAGGCTGGGTTTGCTCAACCAGAATGGCATAGTGCCCAATGCAGAGGTCCTGGGCTTCAACTCCCTTGTATATCCACGGAGTGCCGCATCTCCATGGCGAGACCATGACAACCACCAGTATACTTATACAAAGGAAATCTACAAGGACAAAAATTATCAGATGCTCTATCTCTTGAAGGAAAAATTCCCTTCGGGTGGCCGCGACATGCAACGACTGCTGGACAGCTGGCCGCGCGATGCAGCGGCCGGATCCTCCAGGACCCCGTAGTTTTTCTGCCGCGGGAGCGTTGGTCGCTGCCCTCCTCAACATGTGCACGGGCTGCTTGGCCCTGGTTGAGGCCGGGCTCAACCGGGCGAGTTAGCGGAATCTGTTGGTGTTCCAACACAACAGCGCCCGTGCGAGCTCGGCGGTCAGTACGCCTGACATTTGCACAGGGTGCCCAGGTTGCGATCGACCTCGCGAGGCGCGTGGCTTCATCCCTTGACGAAACGTCAAATGATCTCGTTACCTGACGACATACGTCGTTGAGGTCCTTCATTATCTCGCTGCCCTTGCTCAGGCGCGTCAAACGCCGGAGTTTGGGCCGGTGTGTGCACCTCGGATGGCTCCCGTGGCTCCTGCCTTGCCTTGCAGTGGGGGCGGTGGCCTTGGCTGCGCTGCTCTGAGGATGCGGCGCTCCATCCTGCATACTCGGGGTGCCATTGACTGCCAGCAATGTGGCCGGCCATTGCTCGGGTTCGCGGCGACGGACCTCCTGAGGCAAGTAGCACTGGCTCTGCCTGCGAGAGTCTTCTCATAAGGGCGCGCTTCAACCGACATACTGTAGGGGGCTGGAGGGTTGTGGTTACGTTTTGCTGCTAAGTAGACCCCCTGAACCTCGACGCCCAGATTCGTCTGTTTTGGTAGTGAAAAAAACCCCTGAATCTGGGAACTCTTAATAGGACCTCGACGCCCTCAATTAGCATCCTTCTCCTTGTAGGACCTCGACGCCCAGATTCGCATGCTCAAGGCAAGGAAGCTGGACGCCAAAAAGGCCTGCAGAGAGCACCAGAAGGCTTTGCGCGCTGTGCAGAAGCGCAAGGCGAAACTTGTAAAGAAGACGAAGGCTCTCTCAGTGAGAGACTTGGAAATCATCCTAGCGGCCCGCCAAGCGGCCCCCTAAGATCGTTTGCAGATCTGCAGCGGCCCGTCTAGCGGCCCCGTAAGATCATTTGCAGGGGAAGCATATCCCTGCGTGTGGTCTGAAGTTCTCCAAGCTCGAAGTACTCTCGAACTGACAGAAAAAGTCCGATCCATGCTCCAGATGTGTGTATTCAGATAAGAAAAAGGCAAGTGTAGAGGTGCTGCGGCTTTTGCCTGCGAGCCTTTTACTGCCAGTTAGAAAGTGCCAGGACCAAGGCAGATGTAGAGGTGCTGCGGCTTTCGCCTGCGATCCTCTACACTGCCAGTTAAAAAAGTGCAAGGGCCAAGGCAGATGTAGAGGTGCTGCGGCCTTTGCCTGCGATCCTCTACACTGTGCAACGGCCAAGGCCAAGGCAGATGTAGAGGTGCTGCGGCTTTTGCCTGCGATCCTCTACACTGGGCAACGGCCAAGGCAGATGTAGAGGTGCTGCGGCTTTCGCCTGCGATCTTCTACACTGCCAGTTAAAAAGTGCAGCTAAAGCAGATGTAAAGGCGAGGTTGTGGGTCTTCATGACCAAATTTGTTTCTGCAAGCAGCAAAATTGGCCGGCATGCAGTTTTGCAAGCGTCCAATACCGAATCCCTGTGAGGTGCTGCTAGGAGTGCATTTACAGATCCCGAAACAATTTTGGGTGCTGCAGTTTTCGGCCGCAGGCCGCCAGCCTGCCAAGGACTCAGAGAACGAACGCTCCACTTGCCCATTCGACTGCACTTTGCTTCTACACCAGGTATGGAAGATGGAAGTGGGCATTCTTGATGCCCTTCGAAAGGCGCGCCAGCTCTGAGAGTTAAGCTTGGAGACTGCCGTACTTCGTGCCCAACTGTGAGCGTTGAGAGTGCAGAAGAACACAAGTAGGTCAGGCCATTCGACTGCACTTCGCTTCTACACCAGGTATGGACCGGTATGGAAGATGGAAGTGGGCATTCTGGATGCCCTTCCAAAGGCGCGCCAGCTTAGAGTTAAGCGGGTTCAAGATTCAGGGACAGACGCTGTTCCTACGGTTGATGGACAAAATCCTGCATTATCCAGTATAAGGAATCTACCATATAATTCCCATAGTTTAGGGTCCTTAGGGTCATGCAGAATTTTGTCCATCAACAGTAGTACCAGCGGCAGTGCGCTCGTAAAAAAAAATAGGTTATCACGTGTTCTATCTATTTGGCGCTGTTTTGCGGGCTTGGTTGATTTGGGTAGCGTTTTCCAATGCAAATCGCAAAGCTTCAAAGCCTGTCGGCTTGTCAGACCTAAAGTATCAAACCCTAAACCTTCAAAACCTTAAAGTAGGGCTCAACAAACCTGCACGAAATCGGCCCTTCCCAAGGTCTGTCGTGCTCACGGTGTAAAGCAGGCTGGGGCCCCACGCTCGAAGCATGCTTGAGCGATTACGACGTGGGTTAAAGTGCAGGGTTCAAGATTCAGGGACAGACGCTGTTCCTACGGTTGATGGACAAAATCCTGCATTATCCAGTATAAGGAATCTACCATATAATTCCCATAGTTTAGGGTCCTTAGGGTCATGCAGAATTTTGTCCATCAACAGTAGTACCAGCGGCAGTGCGCTCGTAAAAAAAAATAGGTTATCACGTGTTCTATCTATTTGGCGCTGTTTTGCGGGCTTGGTTGATTTGGGTAGCGTTTTCCAATGCAAATCGCAAAGCTTCAAAGCCTGTCGGCTTGTCAGACCTAAAGTATCAAACCCTAAACCTTCAAAACCTTAAAGTAGGGCTCAACAAACCTGCACGAAATCGGCCCTTCCCAAGGTCTGTCGTGCTCACGGTGTAAAGCAGGCTGGGGCCCCACGCTCGAAGCATGCTTGAGCGATTACGACGTGGGTTAAAGTGCAGGGTTCAAGATTCAGGGACAGACGCTGTTCCTACGGTTGATGGACAAAATCCTGCATTATCCAGTATAAGGAATCTACCATATAATTCCCATAGTTTAGGGTCCTTAGGGTCATGCAGGATTTTGTCCATCAACAGTAGTACCCTCCCCTTGCCCCACCGCAACAAAGATGTACTTCGCGGGCGTGCTTCCGCAATTCGCAAGTATCAAAGATTCAGACCTTGCCTCTGTTGCTCTTAAGCTTTGTTTCGGCATCATTGTTTGAGGGGGTGAGGGGGAGGGTGGTTCCTCCTGTGGATCGTTTGGAGCAGACTGCACCACTAGGCTTTAGGGTGTAGCACCACGGTCTTGCACCTGGGTCCTGGGGACAGCTGGTGGAGTCCGCAGTCTGCCATGGGCCTTTGGCAGCTTGGAGACTTGAAGTAGGTGTGAGCTGAAAGGTCATGCACCTGGGCCTTGCTGGCAGCTGGTGGTGACCACAGTCTGCCATGGGCCTCTGGCAGCTTGGAGACTGTAGTAGGTTTGTAGGTTTTTCACTGGCCGTTG